CAGCATCAGAGGAGCAGGAAAGTTGATGTTTCGGGTCGAGACCCTTCGTCAGGATCCTGACCTGAAACATTGACTCTCCTGCTCCTCTGACGCTGCCTGGCCTGCTGTGTTCCTCCAGCTCCACACTGTGTTGCCTCTGACTGCATCATCTGCAGTTCTTGTTATCTCCATGAGCATGTTCTTTGATGTTTTATGGACCAGATCAAACCTCCTCAATATATTGAAAAGATAGTCTAAACCTTTTCTTATTTTAAAGGTAAATGCAAGGTGTTGCATCCCAGATGCAGTTCAATTGGTCAAACTACTGGATTTAAAGCAAAACACACTATATTCATCCACTGTGGTTAAAATATAACAAAAGAAAGAAGGAATTAGAATAACTTTACTGACACAGTAACTGTTACTAATTAACTGTTCCAATAGAGTTAACATCCCATAAATACACACTTTACAAAAGACAAATTCATAAAACAAATTGTCTCACATGCAACTCCAGCAGCCCAGGAGGAAGACAAAATCGAGAAAGTTCTGAGAGAGTGTAGCAGCCGGGAGAGATTTACTGCAGTTTCCAACTCTGCTGAGATCCTAGCAACTACTACTACTGCTGAAAACTAAAAAGCAAAACTGAAAATCCTGGTTCTCTGAGAGTTTGACCACACCCATTCAGGCTGCCTCTATTGTTCCAACTTATTAAAAAAAATCAAGGCCTCACAAGCTGTTTACACTGGGACTTTGGTCAACTGCTTAAATCCTCTGCCTTAAAAAACTCTCTTCCCAAAAAAAAACAGGACAAGATACACCTCTTAAATCCATAGTATCATCCCAGATGATGTAAAGGTGAGGTTTGATGAGGGTAGTGCAGTTGATGTTGCGTATGTGGTCTTTTGAAAGACGTTTCACAAAATGACACATAATCGGCTTGTTTGCATAAGCATAGCCCCATTCTTAACGCAGAAGATGAAAAGCTCAAATCAATATTTAGGAAGGGATGCAAAGCAGAGACTTGCTTTTGAAAATTGAGGGAGGTATACAGGGCTGTTGCCTACATGCCTACTGCACTTTACCTCTCTGAGCAAATGACATCAACGTTTTGGGGCATCGTTTCAAAGTTTGTAGATACCTCAAAGCTTGAAAATATAGTAAACATTGAGGAGATGTAGCAGATACAAAGCCAATATATACAAGGGAATGGGTGGCAGGCACAAATGCTGATTAGTTTACTGGAGGGGAATATGAAGTGGTGCATTTTGAGGGTATGAGGAGAAGTGTGATTGATAAAATGGTGCAATTTTAAAAGGAGGGCTACAGGAACAGAGAATACATTCAAGGAGGATCTCTAAGAATGAGGCACTGAGTCTGGAGCTGGAGTGAAAGGGATGGTGATAGACTGGTGGAGTCTTGCTGCCTTTTGCATGGGGGGAAGCCAGTCTAAGTAAGGAAAGGACAGCGAGTCCAGAGCGCTGTGTACACACGTCTTTAATAGTGACAAGCGCAGTTAAAAGGCTTTGAAAAGTCAAACTCCCTTGTTTTTGTGTCTCCCTTCCCCTCCCATCAATTTATTTTCTCAATTCCCTTTTGAAAGTTATATTGAACATGTTTCCAACCCTATCCATTCCAGATCGCACCATCTCACTACGGGAATGATCTCTTTCCCCATGTTACAGCGAGAGAGAGAGAGAGAGAGAATGCCAAGAAGGGGCCAGGATTTCAGTCCTGTGGAGGGTCCGTTCCCCACTGAACTAAGAAAGTTAAGAGGAAGTTGGGTTGAGGTGTTAAATCACGTGAAAGCTTTTGGTCAAGTAAATCACAGGGGAGGCGATGGCCTATTGGTATTATTGCTGGACTGTTAATTCTGAGAGACTCAGACAATGTTCTGGGTACGCAGGTTCAAGTTCTGCCACAGCAGATGGTGGAATTTGAATTCAATAAAAATATCTGGAATTAAGAATCTAATGATGACCGTGAATCCATTGTGGATTGTCAGGAAACATCCCATCTTGGTTCACCAACGTCCTTTAGGGAAGGAAACTGCCATCTTTACCTGTTATGGCCCCACATGTGACTCCAGACCCACAGCAATGTGGTCGACTCTTAACTGCCCTCTGGGCAATTAGGGATGGGCAAGAAATGCTGGCCCAGCCAGTGATGCCCACATCTCGTGAATGAATAAAAGGGGGAAATGGAAAATCAGGGCAAAACTGTCTCTAATGGCAGAGATTGCTCATTGGAAGGTGCAGATAATTAGCATAATGAACCGGGCGGTGGGGGGGGAGGGGGAACAAAAACAAGAGCTGTTATCATCTTATGTTATAATTAATAACCTTCAAATAGGAAATCAATTGGTTGTGGGAAGAATATGTTCAGGGGTACGGGATAAAACAGGGACTAATTGGATAGCTTTAGCGGAGTGCCAGTATAGTCACAACGGGCTAAAGGGGCTCTATCACTAATTCAGTGACTGCTCATTACCATAAATCTGTGTCACCTTGTGATCAGCCAGAGGAATGAGTTGCTGTTTGTTTGGTTTTGTCAAAGCCGTCCATTAAGTCTCCGTTCAGCTTTCTTCGCTCAACAGCCCCAAATACTCAGATTTCACCTTGTAGCTGAAGTCCCCGGTCCTAGTCCTGTGCACCCTCCCTGACATCTTACCTGAAGTGATGCCCGGAACCCGATACCGGCCGTCAGAGGAGGCCTAGACTAGCGATGTTGAAAACAGAAGGGTTTATCAGGACTTCCTCGTACAAGTGTGGAGCTGGATAGAATGTACTGCTGTGTGACAATCATTTCACTTTATTTCTTTTTCTTGTGCAGTCCCAGCGAACAGTTCCAATAACCCTGGAATGGAAACGATGATGAACCCTTATACAAGCCTGCCTCCACAGCAGCTCCTGGCTATTGAACAGAATGGATATAGCACCGATCCTTTTCGACAAGGCCTCACTCCTCCTCAGATGCCGGGAGACCATATGCACCCTTATGGTGACTGCTTCTTTCTCCTTGAGATTTCAGCCAAATTTTTTTTTTCCGAAAAAGCAAAAGCCTCGTATTAAATCCCGGAATAACAGACCGACCATTCCAAGTCATGGCAGAACCTTCAATGGAATCTTTATCCCCGCTTTTCCAGCCCTACCTCTGATAGGAAGGACTGTTCCTATCTATTTTGCCCTGACCCCCTTGCGGTTTTGAACATCTCTGTTCAGCCCTCCTTTTCTCCAGGAGCGACAGCCTCCCTGCTGCTGACCTATCCACGTAACTGAAGTTCCTCACCCCTGGAACCAATCTCTTCCAACTTTTCTGCATCGTCTCCAATAGCTTCCCCAGCGCAGTGCCAGAATTGGAGGCAAAACTCTAGTCGAGGCCTACATTTTTACACAGGTTTATCAGAACACCCTTGCTTTTGTACTCTCTACCCTGATTTCTAAAGCCCAGGACCCCTTGTGCTTCAGTGGTTTCTTAAACCTGCCCCCTGCCATCTGAAACAGATTGTGTTCCTATTCACTGCCAGGTCCCTGTACCCCCTTTAGAATTGTACTCTTCATTTTGTACTGCGTTTCATTGCCTTTCCCATTAAAATGGATCATTTTATGTTCCTCCATATTAATTTTCATCTGCCATATATCCACCCATTCTACCACCCTATCTATGTCCTCTCAGAGCCTTTCATTACCCACCTCATAGTGCCAGTCCTTGTGAAGATGTGGTGCCCAGAACTGGACTAATCGCTCAGGTCTAACCAGTGATTGCTTAGCTTAGCTTCTTCAAAAAGGAGTTGGACAGACTGGTGTCTGAGGATGGGTTTGAAGATTACAGGGATCGGTTTAGTTTGACATGTCCAAGTAATATTGAGTTTTGCGACTCCAGGCCTGAATAAGAAAGGGAGGTTTATCCAAAACAACAAAGGTTGAACTTTGGAGCTATGAAGCCAGGTAAATACTTTGAGGTATTGTTTCACAATCTTTGAAGAGCTAGGCATGTCTGAAGACTACTTCCCTTTGAGAGATCCAATTGGGGTGCTGGTAGTTTGCAAAGTACACTGAGAGGAATTTTCATTCTCAACAAAAAGGCTGCTCAGCCCTTAGGGGAGGAAATGACTTTGAGTTGTTATTACGGGACTGTTAATCCAGAGACTAAGGTACTGTTCTGGGGACCCAGGTTCAAATCCCACCACGGCAGATGGTGGAAATTGAATTCAATAGACATCTGGAATTAAGAGTCTAATGATGACCATGAATCCATTGTTGATTTTCGGGAAAAACCCATCTGGTTGACTAATATCCTTTAGGGAAGGAAACTGCCATCCTTACCTGGTCTGGCCTACGTGTGACTCTTTCTGGACAAGTAGGAAATGGGGAATAGCCAGTGACACTCTCATCCTGTGAATGCATTTTGGAAAAAAAACGCAGGTGGGATGTAATATGTTAAAAGTCTCCAAACCCTAACTGACACTGTGAAATTGGAGTTGACCAATTTTGGATTTAATGGAATAGAATTGGTTGGCCGAAGGGCTGGCAAGTAAAATCCATCCCCTGCATTCAAATCGCTCATTTGAATATTTTAATAAGGTTCAGATGCCCCACATTTTAGCTCCATCTTCAGCTTAATGCCGGACCCTTGTGTTTCCCAGAAAACCTGAGGCAATGGGGAGGAAAACTGAAGAGTTAAATGCTTTTGCAGCACTCTTTGTGGGCCAAGAGGAAACAGAAATACTTCTTGTCAGCTTCCAGGCTAGCTGGCCCTCCACTGCAATCCGACCCCCAGGTCACAAAAAGGCGTAAAAAAAAATTGTCCCCATGTCCGTTTTAAATCTATCTCCTCTCACCTTAAAAATATGCCCCCTAATACCCCCTAGAGAAAAGACACCTGCCATTCATCTTATCTATATCCCACATTATTTTACAAACCTCTATAAGGTCACCCCTCAACCTCCTACGCTCCAGTGAAAAAAGTCCCAGCCTCTCCTTATAACTCAAACCCTCTATTCCCGGCAACATCCTGGTAAATCTCTTCTGAGTCCTCTTCAGGTTAATAATATCCTTCCTGTAACAGGGCAACCAGAACTGGACACAGAAGAGGCCTCACTAACGTCCTGTACAACCTCAACATTACACCCCAACTCTATAGTCAAAGGACTGAGCAATGAAGGAAAACAACGTCTCCCAGGAACCACCAACTCCTTCCATTGATCACCGAATTCCAGAGAATATTCATTGAACACCTGCCATTGGCAACCCTGTCCCTTGTCCGTTTCCGATCTGTGGCGAGCGTACCGCTTACAGACCCCCACCACCGGCCCCATCTTTTCCATACATTGTTAATCCTCTTCAATAGATCCGAAATTCCCATTTGAATAAGAGGTGGGAAAATTCTGCTCCCGGCCACCCCAACACACACCTTATCCTGCACAATATTTACCCCTCGACCAAGATGACTAAACTAGATGATTCGGTTTGTGGGATCTTGCTGTGCACAGTTTGGTTTTTTTTGTCAGTAACTGCATTTCGCTCTGTGGACTGCAAAACACTCTGGGGAAATCTCAACGGTGAGACAGGCATTATCGAAAGGTAGCCCGTGACATCGCCGAGGGTGATTTTTCTGGAGTACCGAGGGCTTTCTTCCAAAGTACATGTTTCACCAAGACGAAGGTGTAGAGGGTAGGGGCTTGGCAGTACCTGATGAAGAACAGAGAACTCTCCCCAGCACAGTGCCCAACAGTTACCCCTCAGCTTAGATTGCTGGAGATGAGCCAGGCACTTCCCAAGATGGCCATTGGCATTTCCCCGAGAGAATTTTATTTTTTCTTTCCCCCCTCCCCCTCTCAACATTAGAATCCCTACAGTGTGGCAACAGGCCCTTCAGCCCAACAAGTCCACACTGACCCTCAGAGCATCCCACCAAGAACCATTCCCCTATAACCCACCTAATCTACACATCCCTTGAACACTATGGGCAATTTAGCATGGCCAATCTACCTAGCATGCCCATCTTTGGACTATGGGAGGAAACCAGAGCACCCAGACACAGGGATAATGTGCAAACAGACAGTTGCCTGATGGCGGATTTGAACCTAGGTCCCCAGCGCTGTGAGGCAGCAGTGCTAACCACTGAGCCACTGTACTGCCCAACGATGATGCTTTTTCTGAAAAAAGTAACAAATTGATCATGAACCTGCAGCCTCTCTAGAAAGCAGTTCAGGGGGCAATTAGGATGGGCAATAAACACTGGCTGAGCCAGCGACTCTTGTGAAAGAATTTAAAAAAAAACACACTGCCAGGCAACTTGAGAATGTACTAATTAGCTCCTTGTTCCCTTTTTTTAAATGATGAGATGGATTGAGTCCAGAATAAATCTATAGGAACCTATATTCTATAGAAACAGATAAAATTGCAACAGGACTTGACAGGTTAGGATGTTCACAAAGACCAGGGAGTCCAGAACCTGAGTGTCACAGTCTAAGGATATGGGGTCGGCCATTTTGGACTGAAATAGGGAGAAATGTCTTCGCCCGGACAGCGGTGAGCCTGTTGGAATTTTCTGCCTCATTGGTTAGCACTGCTACCTCACAGCGTCAGGGACCCGGGTTCGATTCCACCCTCGGGCAACTGTCTGTGTGGAGTTTGCATTCTCTCCATGTCTGCGTGGGTTTGCTCCAGTTTCCTCCCACAGTCCAACAATGTGCAGGCTGGGTGGATGGTCCAGGCTAAATTGCCCCAAAGTGTTCAAGGGATGCCTAGATTAGAGGGGTTAAAAGGGGGATGGGTCTGGGTGGACTTGTTGGGCCAAAGGGCCTGTTTCCACACTGAGATGATTCTGTGAAACTGTTGAGGCCACAACATTGAAGTTTTCAAGAAGAAGTTCGATGTCGTTTTTAGGGCTAAAAGGTGTCAGAGGGTAGGAGGAGAAAGTGGGAGCAGGGATTGTGTTCACACAGAATAGTGAGCAGATTCAAAAGAGCTGAACGGCCTAGTCCCTCTCCTATTTTCTGGCCTGCCAGGCCTGTTTCTGTGGCTAATGCTTTTGCCTCTGAGTTAGACAGAGTTGTGGGTTCGATTTTCACTCCAGGACTGAGCGTGCAATGGAGGATGACAGCCCAGCGCATTGCTGAGGGAGCAGTGCATATGCGCTTTCAGGCAAGGCCTCATCTGCCCTGTCAGGTGGACATGGCACTAACCGAAGGAGAGTTTTCCTTGGAGTCCTGGCAAATAATTCTCCCTCAAACCACTTCCCTTCCAAAGGGAGTGGGTAGCCATCGTACTGGACTAGCAATCCATGGCCACAGGCTAATGTTCTGGGAATATGGGTTTGATTCCAACCGTGGCAGATAGCAAAATCTAAATTCAATGAATAGCTGGCCTAACGGTGACCATATGATCTCTGATGATCGTCGTAAGAACCTATCTGGTTTACCAATGTCATCTAGGAAATGAAATATCCCATCCTTACCTGCTGTAGCTTAGGTTGGACTCCAGAGCCACAGCAATATGGTTGACCCTTAACTGGAGAGTGAGGCCTGGGCAATAAATGCTGGCCAAGTGAGTGATACCCTCCTCCCTTGGACGCACGAAAGAAAAGACAGATTAACAGACAGGTCGCCGTTTGCGGGGTCTGACTCTGTGCAAGTTTGCTGCTGGCTGTATAAACAGGTCCTGAGGTTAAGGAAATCGCTCTACCACTGCAAGCCTTTCCTTTCTGTTGTCAAGCGTGGGTGTGGATGGAGGTTGGCGATGGGCTGCATTTCCCATTTCAGAGGGCTGCCCTTCCTGTGCCTTCCACTCCTGGTCGCACAGATCTTGAGATGTTGTCCTCTCTTCTCTCCTCAGGCAACGAGACCCTTTTCCATGACATGGACAGCGACACATCGCTCAACAGCCTAGGTGACTGCCTCCTGGCAACCAACGAAGCAAGCTCCATGCAGGCTCGGATAGGAAACCCCATAGATCGGCTCTACTCCATGCAGAATTCCTACTTTACCTCATGAAGTAGGGCTCACTGTCAACGCCGGAAAGAGCAGAGCTGCCCAGAAGGCCCCGACAGCCAACAGTTGAATATCATTCCACAGCTCTACTCAACATCACTGAAAGCAACAGACGAAACCTGGGGTCCTACAAGCGCTTGGACTGCGATAATCATTGATAACCCACCCCCTCCCCATTACCGCCACTCGCTAGCAATTAGTCGTGCTGAGTGTTTTAGACTGTTGTGGTTAGCCACGTCGCTGTGTTCCGAATGGTCCATCGTTATCGATGCGGGCAAAATAATGCCCACTCATTTCAGAAGCCTGACGGCTCCTTACAGATGACTCGCACTTAGCCCTCCCCCGACCCCGCCTCTTGGAAAATCCGAAACCTGTCTCAGCTAGAGCGATGGATTGTGCATTCGGCGTCAAAAATTGCAAGACCCAGACCCGGGGAGGAGGGGTGGGGATCGGAAAGCCACGCATCCCTTCGCAAAACTGTGGCCCTTAGCTCACCGGGTGCAGAAGTGGACCCACCCACCCCATCTGCACCCCCCCCACCTCCCCTCCCCCTGGTGTTTCGCTCCTTACCACCCCGACCGAGCCAGTGTCAAACCTCTTCAACGCAAAGGGTGAAACCGGGCGGAACGCAGGTTAAAACTTTTCGACTGGGGCCAGGGTTTGGCGTTTTTGCGCAGGGGGGCAGGGGGGAGGTGGGTAAGGGCAGGTGGGGTGCAGACATTCTGCGCCCCACCGGGCACTGGGTTCCGTGCCCCGGGAAACCCGGAATCGAGAACTTCACCGGCCCGATCGGAATGACTTTTGTGAGAGCTGGCTTCCGTTCTCCAGCTTTCACTATTTAATGAAGCACTCGGTGCACTTAAGTTATGAACCGTCCTGTTCATTAGCCTTCCTCGTTTGTATCTTGTGTGAGGACGAGTCCTGATTTTTGAGTTCTTATCGCGACTTGCAGTTAATTTAGCAATTAGTTGAAACCCATGTGAACTGTTGTCAAGTCTTGAAAGCCCAGCCTGAGAAGGCTTTATGTTGTAAATAACTGCTGTCATAAGAACTTGTGTTTTTTTTTTCAAAGTGCTGGTTATTTAACTGTGAAAGATAAAAAAAAAAGCTGTGATAATGTATTGACTGAAGATCACCCTCCACATTGGCATTGTCACTGCAACCAACCATATGCTGTTAGTAGACACTGAGTATGTATTGTGCACCCGTTTATTCAAGTGACGTTATTCGTGTTTGAGAGACCCTTCTCGCCTTTTTGTAGGTTCGCGGCCCAAGACAAGGTTGGACTAGAATCTCACAGACACACCTCACCCCTTGTAGCTCAACACAGGCTCTGAGGTAGAAACATCGAACCTTCCCGGATAGAGGATAAACTGCTGTTGTCAATCTCATCTTTTGAGGCTCATTTGGTCGGATCAGTCACAGACTGCACTGGGAGAAGTAATTCCCTTCTCTTACGTGATAACATTTGGGCAGTGCTTCAAGTTCAAGACCCCAACCCGCAGCACCCACCCCCCACCCCAAGTCTCTTGGCTGAACTTTGCTGCGTTGGTAGTTAGGCTGCAACTGTGTCCCGGGCCTACAGGCCAAAGTGAGCAGAGTTCCAGCAGCTGCTCCGAACTCTCACCAGAAACTACAGGACTGAGACGGCCTATAACCCCAAACCCCATTCCCCCCCCCCCCCCCCCACCCCCTGCCACCGCCAACCCAAACACCACCTCACCTCTCCCCGCTGAAGGAAGAACACTTTGTATGAGATCCAGAAATCCATCTCCAGGACTGCGAGAGCACAGGCGTCCAGGGGAGCGCCCTCCCAAACTGGGTGTTGAGGGGAGGATAATTACTTGGAGTGAGCTTTGCGACCATGTCTGCCCCAAGCGTCTGAAGTTGCAGGCACCAGAAGGATGGCACGAAGGGAGACCTCAGGGGTCTTTCCACATGCCTGTGTTGTGTTGGCAGCCATTTTGTTGTGAGTAAGCCCTGGTAGATACCGTGCAGTAGCAACGGGCACAAGGCAGGCTGATGGCATCGGCTGGAGAAAGCGATTGGAGTCTGGGTGCCCCGACTCCTTCCCGCACCCACGTCCGCCATCGAACAGTGACTCCCTCCCCCAGCAACGCACCCCACCCCATTTCTTCGCATAGTTCGGTGACAAATTCGAAATTGCGAATCTTCTCCTAGCTCCATGCTGAAAATGAGGCGCGATCTTTTCTTTTCTCGGGGGCGGGGGTGTTGCTGTCGAGGGGAGAGAAAGACACCGAGGTTGTTGGGGGTGGATTTGTCACTTTGGGAACACTGTCCACACCCAGAGGAGGCCTGGTTAACTTCCCAGAACGTTAACCAGTGCAAAGCAACTGTGGGTCAAGTGCCCATGAAGCTGAAGATGACACATTGACTGAAGAATGATAGTCGGTAGGAGGGGGAAAGGGGCCCGGCCTACCAGCTGAAAGGGAGAGGGCTCATAATGCCATGAAGCCAGGAGCAATGTCGGACGCAGTGGCTCACTCACCACCTCCCCCCCACCTCCCCAACCACCGACTGGCAGCTTTGGTGCATAAGCTGTCTGGTTCAGGTGGGCTGATTCGATCTCTCCCAGCTCTCCCTTCCATCCACTTCACAGCTGGCCATAGCTGACCTCAACCCAACTCCATTTTCCTGCTTTATCCCCATAATCCTTACTGATCGCAAATATCTTTATGTCAGCTTTGAACATACTTAACGACCCAGCCTCGACAGCCCTCAGCAGTCAAGAATTCCAAACATTCACTACTCCCTGAGAGAGGAAATTCCTCCTCACCATTGTCCTAAATGCTCTAACCTCCTTATACTGGAATGATGCCCTCTGGTCCTAGACTCTCCCACAAGGAGGAACAGCCTCGCTGCATCTAGCCTGCCAAGTGCCCTAAGAATCTTACTAAAACAAAAAGCACGCTGAAGACCTGAAACAAAACAGAACTTGCTGGAGGAGCTCATTTGGTGTGGCAGCACCCTTGGGGGAGAATCCTCACCCTAAGAATCTCGTGCATTTCAATAAAGTCACCTGTCAGTCTTGTAATTTCCTCATCGGCCCAGTCAGGATGAGCAAGGGCCTGTGTGTGTGTGTGTCTGTGTGTGTGTGCATGTCTGTGTGTGCATGCGCGCGCGCGTGTGTGTGTATGTGTGTGCATGCGTGCGTGTGTTTGTGTGTGTGTGCGCTTGTCTGTGCATCTGTGCGTGTCTGTGTATGTGTGTGTGTGTGTGTGTGTGCGCGTGCGCACACGCAGTGGACATCAGGAGCAGTTTCTTGCTTGTCAGCCTCAAAGCCTGACCAGGGAAACACCAGAGTTTGGGGGGAGGGGGCAATAAACGCAGGCATGTGCTTGGGTGTTAGCGCCAATGCACCCTCCATAGAACAAAGGCTAGGGTCCCTGGTATAACTACATTCCTGTCAATCCTCATTCCCAGCTCTGTTACAGCTCTGTAGGAAGTGGCTGTTGATGAGGAATGTGTTTGTCACTCTACTGTTTGAGGAGAAAGCAGCCTTGTATGTTTGACTTCAATGGACTTTAGGAGGTATGGCTATGTTACTGACCAAGTTGTCTCGAGACCTGGTAATCCAGAGTTCAGATCCTGCCAGACAAGAGATCTGCTCTCATGATCCAGAGTTCAGATCCTGCCGGGAGAGAGATCTGCTGCTATAATCCAGTGTTCAGATCCTGCCAGGAGAGAGATCCGGTCCCATGATCCAGAGTTCAGATCCTGCCAGGGCAGAGATCTGGTCCTGTAATCCAGAGTTCAGATCCTGCCAGGGGAGAGATCTGCTCCTGTAATCCAGAATTCCGATCCTGCCAGGGGAGAGATCTGCTCCTGTAATCCAGAGTTCAGATCCTGCCAGGAGAGAGATCTGCTGCTGTAATCCAGAGTTCAGATCCTGCCAGGAGAGAAATCTGCTGCTGTAATCCAGAGTTCAGATCCTGCCAGGGGAGAAATCTGCTGCTGTAATGCAGAGTTCAGATCCTGCCAGGGGAGAGATCTGCTGCTGTAATCCAGAGTTTAGATCCCACCAGGCAAGAGATCTGTTCCCATAATCCAGAGTTTAGATCCCATCGAGGTGTTTTGATTGTTTGAACTCAGCCCCTGAAACCCAGGAGAAACAAGCCCGATTTCAGTAAAAGATTCTGAGCCTGTTCATTGAGGTCCTTGAATGTGCTGTCCTTCCCCAGTCCTCTATACCTACATGGCTAACCCTTCGTTGGCCTCAAAAAGGATCGAGTGAACTGCTCCTTTCTAGAGGATGGGCATTCAGGGCTAATTTTGCCATTAATGCCTGTATCTCGAAAGGGATTTCTTTTGTAAACTTAGATGCCATTCGCTGTGTTTATAGTTGTCTTAAGAAACTACCGGCTGCCTGTTTTTCCGCCCCTCCTTGGGCTCTGGCTCAGAGTCCGAAACTATTGCTGGATGCTACAGTCATCCCTGCACAGCGAGAGTTAGCCCATCCTCATTGGTCTGTGGTGACACCTTCTCTAATTGGCCCAGCTGGAGTGGAAACAGCCAGCACTGAGATTTCTGGCTCCTCATCTCTTGTCTTTTGACCCACATCCCCTCCCTCATCCTCTAAACACCACCTTCCACTCCTTCCTCCCTCCCTCCTTTCCTATTTTCCTGCCCTCTCTCCTCTCCCTCTCCCTCTCCTCACTCTTCCACTCCCGTTCGCTCGTCGCCCATTCCTCCACCTTCGTCAATCCCATGTCCTCCCGTTGGCCCCCCCCCCCACCCCATTGCCCTTTCCTCCCATGCCCTCCCCTTTCCTTCCCCCTTCTCTCCCCACTGACCCCTTCTGTGTGGCGCAAAGCTCTGTTTAGCACCAAGCCGCTGGGCCGAAGGGCCAGTTTCCGTGCCATGTGACTCTGTGACTGTAACCCAACGATGGGAGGCACTTGAAGGGGAACTGGGGAGGGAGGTCCTGTAAATCAGAGAACGGGGGTGCAAGGAGAGTGTTCATTTGCAGCACATCTCGTGGAGAAAAGAGGTTTCAACTGGAATGAAAAAAAAAATGCTATCTGAAAGCTAATGTTAACATGGTTAGAGTGATTGTGCAGTGGGTTAGAGAACGGCGTAACTTCATAGAATATAGTCCACTTTTACCATGTGATTCCTCCTGTCATTGTAAATATCCCACCGTTTTAGTCATTGTCATGTTTACGTAACGCTGTATTAATAAATTTTTTCAATGTGTGAGGATAAACTCCATAATGTGTGTACCGACATCTCTCAGTGTTTCATGCGACGAGGAATCCTTCAGCTCATGGAAAGTTCCAGAAACCAAGGGATGTCTTTCTCAGCAACATATTTAATGTAAGGGACTGTCACGTGGCTTGTAGAAAGAATATCTTCTGTACACCATAAAGAAATATAAATGAATCTCGGTGGATCTCTGTTTCTTTTCATTAAACTC